CCCCCCCCCCCCCCCGGGCGGCGGCAATATCAAATTAAAGTGAGTTTAACAGGGTCTTTTTCCTGCATACAACGAAAACGGAACGATTCATACGGTTCAGCATTGGAATCATTGCCCAACACCAAGCTGTGTTTTTTGTCTACCTGATAAACTGTTTCATGAAATCTTTCTGCTTCTCGGAAGACCGAATCACCACTAGCCCATTGATTGTATCAGCTATATGAGCATACATAGGACTGCACCGAACAGCCTCTAAACGCTTTAACTCCCGGCTAGTTTTCAAATTAAACCAGTAAATAAAAAGAAATATAACTAATACTGGCACTATAGCGACAACCATCCAAAAATTGACCAAAACAGAAAGGATCATAACGCCAGCAAAATAGAGGCACAACATAACYGTCCAGGCAAATTTTTCTGGTAAACTTTCGTCGACACATCCAGTGTCTTTGCAAAATCGGCTCATTATTCTACCAACTGGGTTTCTGTCCATGAATAAGACAGGAGATCTAAATATCGCTTTGAACATTTTATTGTGGATTCTTTGTAAAGATCGAATGATCGACACGACGTTTGCAAATGCTCTTGTTACTGAGAAAATTATAGCGGCAGCGATGAGACTACTGAACACTCCAAGCACAACACGATTCTTCTGCTGCTGTTGTGGCATGGTAGCTATCCTTGAAAGCCACCAGTTAGGAGCCACTAGAGACACTGTAGGAAAAGAAGTAAATTAGATTTTTAAAAGACATTACAGTGCGGACATTCGAACCATGAACACTTCAAGTTTTTCTTTTCTTTTCTTTTTTTCTTTTTTTCTTTTTTTCTTTTCTTTTGACATTCTTTCATAACTATCAAATTACAGCTCTGTAGAAACAAAGAAATCAAACACTTTTCAGGCGCCATCCAATCACAACAAACCTCTGTAAGAATCTGGCTTCTGATTGGATTATTCGAGAAACGTTAAGAAAACTCAAAGTGTTCGATCATGGTTCGAGTGTCCGCACTGTAATACAGTGGTACCTCTATTAAGAGCACACCCTTGAGACCTTGTCTGGTGTCCGAGATTTGCTTCATTCAAAACAAATGCAATCGGTGTTTCATTAAATCCAAACACGGTGCGAGTATGCCTTTATCAATGTAAATTCGATATCTTTCTATGATGAAGGTTATTAACAACTGAAATTACCAAATAGGCTTCTATTTTATACTAGTGTTCGCGCCTGCCGTTAGTAGGGGTGATCCACTGAATATAGTTTCGATTCGTTTTACACTAAAAAAAGGAAGAAAATGATAACACCCGCCGCTAGTGTCCACTTAAATAAAGGGTTTCCGCTTAGTATACAGTCTACTTAATAGAGGCGTACCACCATACTAACAAACTGGTTATTTCATTTAGTAAAGTAGCTTTCTGGCTCGGATAAGCTGGACGAGCCCTCGTTTTGCGACTGCGTTATCGTTGTTTTCATTTTATTACCTTGACAAATTAAATTAGAAGGACAACCATTATTGCAGGAGAACCAGCTGTAAAGAACGACCAGTAAGTCTTCCATGTCACACTGCCTGCAGCATTGTCCTCGTCATCATCTTCCATATCCTGAGGAACACTCTCTTTTTCAATCATTCCAGGGAGTTGCTCAAGATGAACTTTTTCTTCCTCTTGAATTGGTACTGGCGATTTTTCTTCCAATTTAATCTCAAAGTTTTTAACAAGCGTTTGAGTGTTTTGCAGTTGGTCGTAGGGGCCTTTGTATTCTATTTTACCATCCTTTAGCAACACAATTTCATCAGCTCTCCTTAGATACTGCAGTTGATGAGTCACTAGTATTGTCAGCTTCTCCTTAAGTATCCCGCAAATACAGCCTTCGAAAATCTTTTTCCCAACTCTTGCATCTACAGCACTCAAAGGGTCATCCAGTAAGAGGATGTCAGCATCAGAATACAGTGCGAGTGCTAGACTTACACGTGTTATTCAGGTCCGTCTTAAGATCACAGACTTCTATCACTTTGCTGAACCTCTCTTGGTTAAATGGCTTTCCAAAAAGTATGTTGTCTCGTATTGTCCCGGAAAAGATCCATGGAACCTGGCTGACATATTCAATTCTTCCGCACCAAGAAATGACGCCATTTTTCAGAGGAATCTCACCGAGAATCGCCATCAACAACGAGCTTCTGCCACTTCCAACTGCTCCACCGATCATTACCAGCTGGCCAGCAGAAAAGCTTRATGAAATACCTTGTAAAACACTTTTACCATGTAGTCCACCCCAGGAAATCGTTACGTTTTCCATTTCAAGATGTTCTGGGACTGATTTGTCTTGCGTGATTGTATTCAAGTTCGCTACACTCAACAGCAGTGGCTTACTTTTCCTCCAACTTTCTACCCGTAAGATCTTAGGAAGAGCTTTACCATAGGTTTTCCGAACCCGATTCTGAATTTCAATGCCAATATCGTCGCGAAAGACACTTTTGTTGACAAAGGAATTAGCGTGGTCCTGAATATTATCCACGGTGTTCGAATCAGGCAGCGATGTTAAAAATTGTTCAACTCTCTTGACAGCAACATACCCATCAGTAATGTGACGTAACACTGCTGACAGTCCAACAGTTATAGCAAATCTTGCTAGGTTTAATAATATCACTAAGGTGAATATGCTGAATGAAGAAAGTTGGATTCCAGAATAGAGAAGTGTAACGACAGATATCAAGGTAGCTGTTGGGCTAGCTGTATTGTACGAGGCAACAAAACTTGCAACGATCAGACTTCTGAATCGAATATATTTTATTTCCATACTGAAAGAAAGAAAGGAAAAATGGCTGGCTGGCTGGCTGGATGGATGGATGGATACATTCAACTAACCTTCTAAGTTGTTTTACTAAATCATAAAAACTCCATTCCCAAGCATACATCTTCACAGCTCGAATCCCATAGATAACATTATTTAAGGCGGCCAGTCGTTTATCAGAGTACCTTGCCACCTTGTAACGTAAGATCGAAAATTCTTTGGAAGCCAGCAAATTGTAAATTAACAAGACAATAAAGTATATTACTCCTGATAATGACTGCCAGCCAATGTAAATCCACATCAAAGCTATTGTAGCTATGATTTCAACGGGAGCGTTCAAAGCCATTATTGATCCCAGGACCGCTGCTTCCATTCGTTGTGCATCATTGGAGACCAGATTCAGAATGTGTCCAGTTGAAAACTTGGCTATATCACTGTGACGGCACGAGATGCTCTGTGACGTATATATTAAAAAAACAAAAACAAAAAACAAAAAAAAAAAACAAAAACAGAAAGATATATCTATAGGACCGGTGGTTTTTTTTTATCTCGTGGGGGGAGGATTAGGAGGACTTTTGTTGTGACATCATAAAGACTATAACTCCCCCCCCCCTCCCCTCAACCCCAAGAGGCTGACTTTCGCACTCACACGAAGGCCGCTCTAACAAACAAAAGTGTACAAAAGAACTGTAAGTGATATATATTAATGCAACAAAACAAAACTCATATAATGAAAGAGGAGTCAGACGTCGTTCCAATTTTGTCTTCTTTCATATGTTTTTCTATTCTATTCCTTTAAAGTTCCTACTATGAAATCACACTCATTAGCATACTGGAAGTATAAACCTTGATATCTCCAAGATGCATCACTCAAATCATACAAAAATATTTTACTATTTAACTTTTAACTTCATGTAGAATCAATGCTGAAAGCATTGTGTTARGGGTCATACGCACTTTAATGAAAAAGGTTTACGTAATAATACTATCTTTTTATAAACAAGTCCAATAATGCCAACTTTTAATCGCATTCCTTTTAGGTTTGCTTGGTATGAAAAATGCTGTTCAGAAAACGTCTTGATGAGTCCTGCCATAGTCATACCAACCATGTATGGAATAGCTGAACTGTAGTCAATGTGGGATCCCTCATTCAGAAGCTTAAGAAAATGCCACGCAAGAATGGCAAGGGATAATGACGCAAAAGTTGAGAGAAATCTCAAAGTAATAAGAAATTATCTTAACCTCGATGAAAATGTCTTGAACAATGCTCTCAAAAGTCGCGGGCTTCTTCCACTTCTCGCAGAATTTAACAGCTCTTCGCTCCAGCAGTTGTCTATCTCATTCACAATTTTCAATGTCTGATCTTCTTCCAATAAAGTATAGAGATCGTCTCCAGTAAGGCTTCTCTTTCGTCCAAGATATAAAAGTTTATTTAGCCATGACATAAAGAAAAGCGCTAGGAAGCTGGCAGATTTTTKGGGGTTTTCCTTAAACGATTGAGCCATGAATCCGTCCTGCGTTGCCACTATGACCTCAACTGATAGAATATAATAGATCTGAAAAAAAGAAAAGAAAAAAAAAAACTATGTTAATAGAGTACGTACTACCAAATTAAAAGTGAGACGTCATCAAATTTCAAAATTTTCAATCCAGTTTTAATATTGGCATTCGTTAGGGATTTTTTGCAGCTGTAAAAATGATGATATCGGGTAAGCTCCAAAAACTACTATGCATTTTCTCTTGTTTCGCACTGGATCCAATCACGTTAGATTCTAGCACCAAATAAGACAAAATGTATGGGGATATTTTAGCATTAAATCAAAATCTCTGTTTCTTGCTCCATTGCTATAAAATATCACAAAATTAATATCATATTTTTACAACCAGTTTCTGATAATCACCAAAATTCTAACGGTTCTAAAAAATAATTTGGTGACTGTAGACGCTAGACAGTTATTGAACACTTACAATAAAAAATAAAATAAAAATGAGTCATTTATATGGGTGAATGAACACAAATAATGAAATGCAAAGAGTTCAGTATGGTAAGGAGGTTTCAACTAGTCTCCCAATAGATCATGGAGTTCCTCAAGGCAGGCTGCTCGGTTCGCTCCTGTTTATCATATACACTAACGATATCTACGGTAGTGTTTGGAAAATTGTCTCATTTCCTATGTATGCAGACGGTACTGTTATATACTTCTCTGGAGCTGACATTGCAGCGCGCAGTGGAAGGAACCATCCAGAAGGTCTGTAGAGGTTGGTAAACTAGATGACAAGCAACAGATTTATCCTCAATCAAAGCAAAACCAAGGCAATGCTATTTGGGACAAGGCAAAGACTGCAAGGTGCCAAGCTATCAATATGTCTCCAAAAAAAACATACTTTAAATACTTAGGAGTTTTTCTAGAGGAGACATTATCATGGAATGAACATGTTGATACAATATATCGTAAAGTTAACAAGCGCCTCGGTTTACTTTCTCGTATTAGATCTTGTTTGACGCTTAGAGCATGTAGAAATGTTTACAGTAGCCTAATTAAGCCTGTCCTGCACTATGCTGATACAGCATGGGAGGGGAGCTTTCTGTCGGGAATAGTAAACGATTACAGAGATTACCAAATAGGGCAGCGCGTATCATTGTTAATAGATGGGTAGAATTAATTAATTAAGTCGAGAAAAATACACAAATGGTTATTGGTATTTAAATGCCAGCATGGCTTAGTTCCGGTATATCTCAGTGATTACTTTGTGAGGAATTGCCACTTTCACTCATACAATACTAGAAGGAAAAGGGACTTACATCTCCCCCTATCAAGGTTAACTCTTCAGTGGTAAGCGAACGTTTAGATACTCTGGGACTCTAGAATTAATAAACTAGCGAAGAAGATAAAGGAGATCATGTCCTTAACTACATTCAAACATCGTTTGAAATTGCATTTTTTAGGTATCTGATATTTTGTTAAAGTTTTACTGAACTATAATGAAATGAAATTTTACTAGTCACAATAATGTTTGAAGTATCCTTATTCATTTTAATTTAAACTTACATTTGTATTATTTATTATATATTTATTGTTTTCAAGGCCCCTCTGGATATCAGCCAGGTAGCTGAATGGGCCACCCTGTTTAAATGAAGTCTTTGATTGATTGTACTAAATACCAAAGACTGAAGTTATATACCTGACTGTGAGCTAGCCCGTTAGTCTATAGCTACTCATAATGCTACTCATAATGCAAATATAAAGGTTGTCATAGAGATCAGTAACTCGGGAAAAATAAATGCAATATATATTTTTTGATAGTTTCTGATTCGATGCCAAGCTTACTAATCATCAGAGCACGCAGAGTCGAGACAGAGACACACATATAATAAATTTACACACTTGATTTCAGAAAGGTTGTAGTATACATTTATACAAATATCTAATGAGCTGCAAGATATCAAATGAGATGCAGAATTCAAAGCATGCGTAAATACGATTGCTTAGCCACAGCATTTTGTGATTTTTTTTTWAAATTTGAGTTTGCACAATCGTGTGTCTCTGATACAATCAGAAGATAAGATAAGGAAGACCAAATAAGCTACTTTTTAAGTTTTGCATCTCATTTGATATCTTGCATCTCATTAGGTGTATGTACAAATGATGTATACTACAACCTTTCTGCAATCAAGTGTATATATATATAAATGTATATAAATATATAATATTATTTATATAGGCTAAAACCATTCTAAGCCCACTGAAGTCGTTCAGCAATTGCAGATGTAATGTAAAGACTACATATTTATATACGCTCGCTGGTACAGAAGACTTTGAGGACTCAAGCTCAGTTTAAACTTAATACAGTCAATTAATACTCTTGCATATAGCAGACCAGCAGTAAGTGCCTGAATCGTCTATTGAAATAAGCTTATATATCGTAATGATTAAGACGTGTATGAGTATAGCGTTAATCTTAATCAAACAAACTAACCTTCAAGTAGAATAGTATTGGACTCCACTGACTTAGAGTGGCTACTAACACCAAGCTTACGTTCTGGCTGGGTGAACTAGTTGAAGGCAATTAATTTGTCAGAGCATAACAAAGATTAAATACTCATAATTTGCATATGGTTGGGATACCTGTGGWGAAAAAATTACTTCCGCTACTGCTCAAATTTAAAGATAAGAAAAACTTCAAGTTTCCTTCCACTAGCAGTAAAATAAGAGTATAATTTAAAAAATATGTGCGATTTCAAATTTCATAGTACTCGAGCAAAGTTGTCACTACTGGTCAGCTACTGCTCAAAGTTAAAGATAAGCGATAAAAATATCAAGTTTTCTTCCACTAGCAGTAGCCTAAATAAGAGTATAATTTAAGAAATATGTAAGGTTAAAAATTTCATATTGTTGTGACGTTTTGTTGACTGAATTCACAACCTTCATAGTGCAGTTGGGAGTTGGTATGCAATATGTAACAAAACCTTCACAAACCCTTGTTTCTCATCCCATACTTTAATAGTTTTAATATTTTGTGTCAGCTTTAGTTATTTATAATAATAACAATAATAACAATAATAGTAATAATAATATTATTATTATTATTATTACTATTTATAAATTTAATACAAGTTTTTTAAGCAGTTCAATTAAAAGAGGTTTTGAAACTGCTTGGTTTCAGTTAGCTGATAAAAATTTTTGGGCTATTGAGTCTTTGTCGTTTCATTTTAATATAAAGTTCTGTTGAACTCTATGGAATTGGCGCTCACTAAATCATCATCTCATTATTTTCTTCAAGAGGGGTACAAACACTGACAACCAGTGCTGTCAGTGTATCTGTGAGTTAGTCATGCGCTGACTTTCGAGGTCCTTTATGAAAATCACTTTTGGTGATGTTGTTACCTCTCTAAAAAAATATATATATCATAATATTATTATTATTACTTTGAGCAGCCAAGAGGTTGTTTCAGGATATCAACAATATTTGATTAAATGTCACATCTATAAAAYTTAAATGTGTAAAGTATTCTAGATCTTTTTGGGTTCCAGCTTCTCTTCAGATTTGAAGAACAAATTTCCAAATTTTGTAGTGAACTAGATATTTTTATGGTTGTTAACCATTAGATTGGAAATTCTGGTAATTCCAGTTTTTCTGCAAATGGTATGACCTTCTCCCATCGGAAAATTTCTGGTAAAAGTGGAAATGCTCAATAGGTACCCCATTTGTTCCAGTGAGCCCAGAATAACCGGAGAATCGCGTACCATTGACAATTTCCACAAGATTTTTAAGACAGGAAGCCCAAATCTTGAAATTGTTTAGAACGGGAAGCCCAAAAGTAAAATTTCCAGTTGATATTGCAAATGGAACACAAACCTCACAGGAATGACTGGGAAAAGGGAAACAGTTTGATACCATTTGCTCATTCTGGATGAAGAGGAAATTTTGTTGGAATTTCCAATCTAGTGGTAAACAACCTATATATCTTAGAAAGACAGGATATGGGCCTTTATGTTGATTGGAACAATAGATTTCCCCCAGGTGGCCTCGCATTCAAGCTCTTCAGGATAAGGTTATGCAAAAGTTAAACAAAGGTGACTATTCTTATGAGAATAAGCATCACGCCATGCGATAAAGGTCCAGAATTTAAATGTATGACTTTATTCTAATTTTTTTGTGCCAGTTTYACCTCTTTATGGGTTTGGGTATCTAATTTCCATATTTTGTGCTGTCCTTTCACTGGCACCTTCAATAGCAACTGCTTGGGGTTTTCGCAGATGAAGACATAAGGTGACTCTGATTCAGTCTCATCCTGGCAGTTTTCCTTGTACTCCTCATGACTCCAACACTCAACCACATCAACGCAACCAAGCAAACACCCTGTGGGGTACTCCCTGGGGAATTTCAAGACTTCATTAGGGTACATTTCTTTGTACATATTTTCTAGAACATCTATTTCTTGTTCTGTTGGCTTCTTGACTGTAGCTGCTATCCAAAGCCTTCCCCGGTGTGATGTGTACCAAGAGCGTCCTTCAACCTTCTTTATGCCAGCAACTAGGAGTGATGCCCATGGTTGGTGCATACTCAAGCACATTCCAGGGTCTCTCATCTCCTGTAAGCCCTTATCTTGAATACGCAGGCCTTTATGGCCACTGTTAACAGGTTCCTGAGTACTTGAATTACTTTTTTGGATCTTTGAGGGCTTAAACTGCAGCTTTAAGTCAGGATAAGAGTTTTTATCCACCAGAGATTTCTCAGCTATCTCCTTAGAATGGTACCCAAATACTGGTAATTCTGAATCAATCTCATATTCACGACTGTTATCATCTTCTACAACTTTGCGTCCTGCAAAGTCTAGAGTCACCTTCATGTTTCTTCGTGATCCATGGCGCTTCTCTCTAAGCTCTTCCTCCTTCTTCTCCAGCTTCGTTCTTTCTTCAGTAGATAACCACTTTGAATTTGTGGAGAAGTAGTCAGCCTCATCGTCTATAACGTGAGTACGTCGCGCGCTAGTTTTATCGAACTCTAACAGTTTATTCTTGTGCTCTACAGCTCTTTGATACCCTTCTAATTCTTGAGCACTCATATTTTTCMCTTTTTGCAGCTTTTTCACGTCGTCAGAAAAATCCTGCTGCATCAGCTGTTTCAACAGCTTGGCGCTTTTCTTCGAATCCCTCGCTAAAATCTCTTTCTGAGCCTTCGTACAGACAAGAGAACCACAGAAATAACACGGCCCTTCGCCCTCCTGTTCACAAACTATTCTTCCACAGCTCGTACAGTTGTTTATGAGTGAGTGTTTTTGAGCTAGACATTCACATGGGTGCCTACCAGGCAGACGAACCGATGTTCTTGCTTCACCTTCTTTACTGTAAAGTGGAACGAACTTCGCAGGCTTTTTCTTCTCCTCTTTTTCAATCGTTTTCTTCTTATCGGACTTACGGTTTTGCTTCTTGGAAAGAAACTCCGGCTCCTTCTCTTTACGTATCCATTTTCCTTCCTCTTGGTCGTTGCTCGTGGTCTTCAACCCGGTCAAAAGATTCTCAATAAAATCACAATAATTTTCAACACTTTCGCCAAAAAAGTCTCGAAAGTACTCCTCTACTTCTTCAACGTTTTGTATTTTGAAGACATAGTCGACTATATCCTCTGGGCAGTCTGTTATTTTCGAGAGTTCTTGGACGCACCAAGATCTCAACCCTTCCCTGCTGACCGCCATCTTGGATTTCTCTCGTTTTAACACAGGAACCCCATCATGTTGAATTGTGCCTCAACACAGGAACCCCGTTAGAATCGTTAGCAAGAAAGTTCCGTGCCGTGACTACGAAAGCACTATAATATTGCGTAATGTCACTGGTTGAACCGATAACCTCAAATTTCCTACGGCTATCGTGACGTATACTTTTTTTTGCCAAAACTTGTTTACACATGATATTGTAATCCTGTGGCGGATTTACTAGTAGGGAAGAGGGGGGGGTTCATTGGATGCAAATGAACTCCCCCTCCACCGGCTGGTACCTTCGATTTTATATATTTTTTAGAAAAATAAATAAAAGTATGGTACTAACTCATGAGATTTAATATGGAATGGGGCTGGTGGATAGGTTATCCTTATCAGGAGCGCCCCTAGGCCAGTGATGTGCCTCATGGGAAAAATGATGATGCAAGAGAACGTTATTGTTGTGCCGAGATTTGCAAAAATGAACCCGCCCCCCCTCTTAAAGTCCTGGATCCGCCACTGTAATCTAGAGTGTATATAAGAAATATTGTCAACAGTATGGATGCCTTCAATGGAGGAAAAATCCGGAGGAATAAAACAGTGCATTTCTGAAAGTTATACTATTGGATGAATAAGAGAGAATATAATAAATAAATCATATATTTTATGTTCGTCATTGCTTTTTTTAAAAGTTTTGTCTGCATGTCTGAATATGTTTTTCCCCATTTTTTCGGTTAAATGATAACTAAATCATTTAATACAGTAATCCAACTTATGGCCCCATAGTTTATTTCAGTTTTCGATCAAGCGGTTGCTGTTTCGGCTCTCGCTCGTTACAGTCATACGGGAAGCAACTTTGGCCGTCTAAAATGAAGTACAATATAGGAAGGAAAAAATATTTGTAGTAACAATAAACAAAACAAAAAACAATGAAAATTGACATGTTAAGAAGAAATAGAATAATCTAGCTAAAGAAGCAGGAAATGCGAAAGAAAGAAATAAGCTGCAAGGGAAGGATGGAAGGAAGAAAACTGATGCCTCGACATGATGCACCATCCGCATTGTCTACGTACTGTGGGCTCGTCACAACAAACATCAGATGATGTGAGGGCTCGATGTGATGGTCGTTTCAAATCAAACATGACAGAAAACAGCCAAAATCTTGGCTAATTTAAACCCGATCTTGCTTCTTACCAGGTCATGGACAGCGTTAGATACTTGTCTTATCATCAATGGAGGACAAGAAAGGAAGGAGACGAGAAACCTTCGCGTTACCATCAAAAACTTCTGGCCAACGTTGAAAGCCTACAGAACAATGTCTCGTCCATTGATAAGTTGATCTCCGAGTATTTAGACGCTACTAAAACCTATTGTGGGGCTGGTTCTCACTTAGCTGAAGCGTTCTCTTCGGTGTTGAAGGATACTCCTTTGTTAGAGATAACACAGCAGTTAAAACAAGTGGTTGAGGAGGTTGATCATGTCGCACATAAGTCCAGTGTTCACATCATCAATCATATCCTCGGCACTTTATGTGAGTTTACCGCTACTTTTCCCGATCTAAAAAGGGCGATCGAAGCTCATAAAAGATGTGCACAGAACTATGAAGCTTGTCAAGAGAATCTAGAATCCTTAGACAAAGATGAAAGCCTCTCGGAAGGCTCGAAACGGTTTAAAATCGCCAAGAAACGTTTCCGGTCGGCCGATGAGGAGCTTTCCACTGAAGAAGAAAATCTTTATCGTAGTTTTACCGAAGTTGAAGAAAATCGTATAAAAGTAAGTGAAAATAACAGTTTCTTTTTTCTTTGTCTTAAGGTGTTAAATTCTAGTTAAATTTTCTTTTTTTAGTGGTATATTTTTGATTTTAAATCTCATATCTCAGCTTTAATTTGCCTGCTTGCATGCCATCAGAACAATTGCTTTTTCTTTATCCTGTTGCTAGAATTTGCTAATAACAATAATTTTTTTCTCCACATCTGCTACGATGAAATTTGTAAAATATCCTACAATAAAAAATGTCTTTTTCCTAGATTTTTCTTAAGGAAGGAAGTGTTTTTTATCCTGAAGCAAAGGAAGGGGACTTTCCCTTCAAGTAAGAACTACAAGTGCATAATATTTAAAGGATCAAAATATGTTACACCCAACATGAATAAGAACGCAAAATTAACCAATTTAAATACCTTAAAACTGTTTACATCATTTTAGAAATAGCGTAAATATATCTTTAATGAGCATAGAATAATTACTACGATTATAAATGTCTTCACACCAAAACAACATCTTTTGTCTCATCTTCAGAATTCTGTCTCTGGATGACAGAAAATTTCTAATATATACAGCGTTATGGAAATCTATATTTGTTTGGGGAATTTTGATTCAAGATCCAGCAATTAAGATTAAAGCGATCTCATGTCTAAATGAAAAATGGAAGGTGATATACCTAATTGCAAGAAAATTGTCATAAAAATGAAAAAAATAACAAATAGAAATTAATTATCTTTTGAAGAAAAACTGTGTTATTATTTCACTGTTTTGAAGGTGGTATAGAGTGCTATAGCTAGGCTGACATTTTTGATACCACCTTGTTGGTATAGTGACTTTAGAATCAAAATAAAAAACATATTCCTACTTAATTCCGATTTATTTATTATTTTTGTATGATAACAGTCTTGCAATATTACACTTATAGGCATATAGAAATCAACCGAAAATTTTGAAATTTCATGTTTGATCAAAGGCATTCAGCTGCTCTTGCCATATTACAACTAGAAGACACCTAGTTATTATGTGTGATTATAATCTTCTTATAAAACACTACAAAATTACTTGATTCTGATTAGTCAAGAGGAGTAAAATTAATTCCCAAACTTTACTCTGTAGAATCCCAATTTTTGCTCAATTTCTTTGAGTGTATTATAAATAAAAAATCTCACAATCTTCCTGACAATTCAAAATTTATAGATACTCATGATTTTTTGAAAGTTTTCAAATTGAACTCGCCGAAAGGCTTGTCCGAATTTAAAAACTTTGAAAACATCACTGTACCTATAAATTCCGAATTGTACTCGAGATCGTGCGATATCCTATACCTAGCACCCTTATGATAAGTCTTTTCATTTTAAATAATAGACTAGCAGGCATGCTTTAGAATGGCTTTCAAATGCTTGAGGATATTTTCTAATGTGTTCTTCAGAAAAACCTTCTGGAAGATCATAAAAAAGCCATGATGAAAAGCGAATAGAAGAAAAACTGGTTTCTTTAATTATTTTCTTCAATGGATACCTGACATTATAGACACTTATGGTCTAGCTGAAAGTAGTAAAATTAATTAAGTGCCATGACGCCGGCAGTTTTCTTGATGCCTTCCTGTCCTTACTAACAGGTTATGACTGTATCTTCCAATTATATAATCCCACAATGTCTAGCGATAGTCATTTCTCTCGCAGACATCATATCTCTGGTATGCAATGATATTGTATAAAATTTGTATACAATAATTGTATACTAGAGATATGATATCTGCAAGAGAAATTGACTATTGGATTGCTAGACATTGTGGGAATTTATCAATTATTGTTTTCAATTAATGAAGGAGAATTCACTTTAGAGTGCACGCCATATATCCATGAAACAAAACCAAGGAACATGTATCATTGTGTTAATTCTAACTAATTCGTATGAAATAGTGAATAAATTTCTTTGAGTGTATCATAAACATAAAATCRCACAATCTTCCTGACAATTCGAAATTTATAGATACTTATACTTAAAAACCGCCACCCGGTTAGCTCAGTTGGTAAGAGTGTCAGTCTGTTGTGCGGGAGGTCATGGTTCAAGCCTCGGTCAGACCAAAACTCAGGGTCTTAAAATAACTGAGGAGAAAGGCGCTGTCTTGTAATTATATCTGCAAATGGTTAGACCTTCAAGTCTTCTCGGACAAGGACTTAAAATCGTAGGCCCCATCTGTCTTCACTATATRACCCTGTATAAGGTAAAAGATCTACTGAAGACGCTGATGATGACCATCTTCTCAGTGCCTGTGCTAACTGGCTGCCTTATCAATTGGGCCACAAGGCCTGTTAGGCATCAAGCCATCCATCCACTGTCTTGTAGATCTCTTTACAAAAAAACAAGGCGTTACAAATTAYGACTTAAGGGGCTCTAGTACCTCATTGCAGTTACCTCTCCCTAAAACAGAGTTTGGTAAAAGAAGTTTTTCTTATGATCCCGGCAAAAGTCTGGAACTCCATACCAGAAAATTTAAGAAATTGCAAATCACTGGCCAAATTCAAATCTGAAATTGCCACTCACACTCAATCTATCTCTTAGTATCTATAAATTATTACTTAATCTACTATGTATTATCGTAGCTTTATTAACAGTTATGTACTGTTTAATAAACGAGCAGGAGTGTTTTATCGGGTRTAAAACACGAGGTGTAGCCGAGTGGTTGTAGACCCGATAAAACACTCCTGCTCGTTTATTAAACGGCTTAAAAAACTCCAGATGTATGTTCTCATACTGTACCGAATTCTTTACGAAATGAACCAAGTTTGATAGAGAAAATCCAAGTTAAAGTTTATGCAAATGAAGATGAATCTATATCAGATATAAAACCTCCTTCATGGTCATGATTTCTATTGTGTTTCCTTCATGAATTATTAATGGCTTTTTAAAATTTATTTTATTTTTATTTCTATTTTTTATTATTATTGATTAGAATATAAAATAGTATTAGCTTTTCATTGTAATATTCATCCACACGCCCCTTGTGGAAATCAGCTTTAGTTGACGGGGCAAGCGTGTTTAAATAAAGTTTTACYTACCTACCTACCTACTTACCCAGGAGTGGTAAAGGCATTACATTAGATTAGATACTGCTTAAAGCTAACTTCATTAATTTTTTATTTTTTAATATTAATGAATGCCCTTGAAAACACCATTRGCATCATGTCTAATACATATCTAGCGTAACAGCTATATATGTTTTTGTTTTTATGTTTTTTTTAGATGTTAGGGTCATGCTTTCTGTCACTCCTCCAAGTCCAGTCRCAGTTTTTGACGGCATCATCTGAGTTGATGTCGCCTTTGGGCTGCTTTCAAGAAATAGGTGATTATCTGCGGGACAGAGAAGTCACTTTAGCCTTGAAGGATGCGACTTCTGCTTGGCTTTCTTTAGCACAGGTATAACGACCAGTCATTTTATAATATTAYYGTCTGCAAAAATTAACAGCCAGTCATTTCATTGGGCTATGTTGAACCAGAATTRAAACTTGTCTGGTCAAATCTTTGCTTACTTGTCACTTGAAACACTAGGCATAAGCTGARATAAAACTAATTTGGCTGGTCAYCATGACCAGCAACTGACCAGTGGTTATTTTTGTCCTGCTCTCTAATTAAGCAACAACAACAAGCTTTTCAGTTGTGATATAAAATATCTTCAATAACTATAAAAACTATTCATTAAATTATAAATATTATTAATTGTTTACAGGTCCATTCTTAAAATAGCCCCATGTTCTTATGGTATATTTGGGCAAGAATTAAAATAATGGTCGGACAGCAAACGCTGTCCGGCTAGATATAGAATTGGGACTTGTTGGTTCAAATCTTTGCATTACAGGTCTTTTAGACCAGTGGCATTTAGCCAGAAAAAAAGTATATGACTAAGCTAAAACTAATTATTTGGCTTGTCATAATGATCAGGGACTGATCCACCGTTATTTTAAGCCCTATTGGGTGGGGCTCATTAATGTAGTGGATTGGTTTTAGTATTAAATAAAATTATTTAATGAATATTATTGATTATTTATTATCATCATCATCATTATTATTATTATTATATTATTTATTTTGTTTAATAAATATCTTTTTAAAACAATAATAAGGTAATGTTCTATTATACCAAAGACTAAAACTATTTATGGTTGTTGCTCAAGGCAAACCAGAGCTTGCGTCAARGGAAAGGTCTGACAAGGGAAGATGTACAACTGTTGATGCATAGTTTTGATGAAGAATTACCTGAACCAGAAAGAAAGCAGTTGGCTGGTAGAGTGGACTTGCTTCTCAAGGTAGGGTAACAATAATTATGTAAAGAT